CCAGGGTAGAAGGACAAACAGACATACATTCTTTGTGTACTAAGGGAGTGGGTTTTGGGGAGGGGGTGGGTGAGAGCAATGAATGCTTAAAAGGCCTGTTGGCCTGTTTAATTTATAGTGGATGGGTGGTACCATTTTTCTCTGTGGTTGTGAATATATTTTATGACTATACTGGATTATTTTCTTTGCATATTTGCAAAGGAAACAGTCTAGTTGTAAAAGCTACCTTTTTGCACTAAGCAGCATCTCATTTTTCTTGTTAAGTGTCTGTTCATACAACATTTATTATTGGAGCAATTTAAACAAAACGTTTGCAAAATCAAATTGACTCTTGGACATCTACATGCCCCAGCTCCCATTGGGGCTGAATCTGTTACAGGGCAGGGAGAGGGGTGCCCCAGAACCCCCACACCTGCCTGCTCTAAATAGGTTCTGCCATCTACCACATCATGACAAGATATAAAAGATCTTTAATGGAAAGGAGCTTTAATGCAATTAGTGAACAATACAAAAAAAGACAAAGAATATAGTTTCTAAATCAAGCACCCAAGTTAACCATCCCCTCGTGGGTAAAAGTCCACCCAAACAGGATTGGCCCAAAAACAAGTCCTGAAAGTCTGTCACAAGTCTATAAAGTTCCTTCCAGTGGGACCCATAGAAAAGGGTCAGAAACAGACAAATCTGGGAGGAAAAGAGCAAAATCAAAATCAAAGCTGCCATTGTTAACATTTCCATTGGTCTCTCACCCACATCTGTTTCAACCAGTCCAGGACCAAGAAACAAGCACAGTTTCTTCATATGTCTGTCTGCTCCATGTCCCTCCTCCAGGTCTCTTTCTTGCCCTCCATCCTGCTTCCTTCCTTCTTCAGTCTCCTCTCCCTGCTCAGCTCCACCCTCATTTGGTTGTGGCAGGGAACCTGGAACCTCCCCTCTTCCTGGGGCCCACCCTGTGACAAATTCAGAGTGTCAGCGTGCAGATAGCATGCAAGGACAGTTGTGCCACATCAAATGAAAAACATTTATTAGTGCTGGGGAAGAGTTTCGTGTTGAGAATAGCCCTTTACATTGGGGGCTGTTTAAATTCAAGTTCTGGCCATCCCCTTTCCACATTTGCTTTTGTTTTGGATGTGAGTGTAAAAGGCCCCATGCATCTACAGGGGTCAAGCCCAGTATTCCTGAGTTATATATAGTTAACTCCTATATTCATTAGAGAATAGGTTTGAACCTTTAGGAAACTGATCACATATGTACTTTGTCTTAAATAAGGTGAAAAATGTGTACTTTGGGCAATCGAGAAATCCTTTATTATTTGGTCTTAGATTGTTTATGTCCCTGTGACTGGGCACAGCAGTGATGGGATGCAGCTTCTGGTGCTGAGTCAGAAGAGACCAGGCAGCCTGAGGAAAGCATCATGGCGTTAATGCCTGTGGTTATGTCCTCAGTGCCCCAGGAATTAGTTCTAAGTATAACTTGTATTCTTTCTTTTCCAAAAAGTCATTTGGGGGAATTTCATATTTTGAATCAAATCAGAATTCTCCCCAAGACCTCGCAGCTGGAGCATGAAGATTCCCATTCTTGTCATTGTCATTAAGGTTGACTGAGAGGAGAGCTGTTGATCACTGGGCTTGGGTGAAGAGTCTGGGGCAGTTCTGACGCCCTTGTCCCAGAGGAGCTGTTCTGTGATCTCTCTTCCCTGTTACCTTCCCTCTGCTGGGTGTCTTGTGTGCAACCATTGACCTGAAATCCATAATCTTAACTTCACATTTTTGCCTTGATTTTACATTTCTCATGTAAAACACTTGAGGCCATCCTTAAAGATAATGGAATGTACATATTCTGCAGAAGTCATTTGCATTTCAGCGCTCTCTTTGCTTTTAAAAACAAGTTGATGGATAGAGTGTATTGGTAGGTGTCATAGGGTGAAAAAGTAATGGGTTGAGGCGGTCAAAAGTAAAAAGAAAACAATCATTCCCAGAGTTATTTATCTACCTAATGGCAATATTTTCTATAAAAAGCTACTCTGCACTGATTTACATCTTAGTGGCATGCTAGTAATAGCAATTTATCAAGCACTTTAAATGTGCCAGGCACTGTGCTCAAAGCTTTGCACACATTGTTTATTTTAATCCTCTCACAACTCTATCAAGTGGATGCTATATTTATATCCACTTATACCCAAGGAGGAAACCCATATCTAAAGGGATTAGATAGCATGCCCAGGTTTATACAGAGCAAAGACTGGTATCTCTCCATTTCTATATTCTACATCCTCTCCAAACATTAAAAAAAAAACCACTTTTATAAAGATTTTTCATTTTCCTCCTAGTGTTGTAGAGCAACCCCGATACAAAACGCCCTAACACTAGGACACCTCATAAAATGTTGTCATCTCATTTTTACATTTGGAAAGTGGTGGAAAGATCGCTATATTTTTTACCTTGACCTCTTTCAATAATAATTCAGGAAAATTCAGTGAAGATAATCAGAAGCTATTAGCTTATTTTGGGTGAGGAACATTTCTAAATGAAATTTATCATTTCCTAGGCAGGTTTTCATTTTCTCTACTCAAAAGTAGTCTCAACTATACTTTTTTTAAAATTTATTTATGCATACAAGAAGTGGGCACAGGTCAGAGGTGTGGGGGGCAAGAGGATTCACCAGAGACAGAGTGGGGAACAGAACAGGCAGATTGACTGAAAATGCACTGCTGAGGGGAGCAGCAGGCGAAACAGGAGAGGTCTGCTGTGCCATGTGGGTAGCTCCCTGGCAGGGGATCAAACTCATACTACAGTGGCTGCGAATAGCTTTGTAGGTTGCGTCTTCATCCCTTGTGCCACCAGGGAGGCCCCGCAACAATACTTATTTTGTGTGTAGTTTGCCATCTTGAATACTAACCTGGTTCTCTAGAAGTAGAAGAAAGAAAATAAAGTCACATTTTTTACCTCATTTAAGCAATACGTTTGAGATAGTACATTTGAGAGTTTCCTAAATACTTGAACCCAGTCTTCAATGGATTTAGGAGTTTGAAACAATATTCCTTCTACTTCCACATCTAACCATCTATCTCCATAGAAAGTGGACAAAGGGTTCTAGAATTCTAAGCGACAGACCAAATACTTGTCATAGGAGAAGCACTGAGGAAGCACCAGGAAGTTCTAAAGGTTAATTGTAGACCTGCTGCCAACTAACAGTTGACTTGAGCCAGGAATTTTACTTCATTGCCTCAGTTTCCTTGAAGGTAGGTAAAGTGATGCTGATACAGGTGTTTTCTCAGTCCTATGGAGTATTCTATTTTATTCCAAATACCTATTACAGAGTTAAACTTTATCTGAAATTTCCTGAATTTCTTCAAGCCATAGATCTAAACACATGCTAATTAAATCCCCAAGCCTTTAGAGGGAGAGATTTCAGAAGATTAATTTTTTCAGCACGGATTTGCTAACCATTTAGTACATCTCCAGTGCTGGGCCTGGCAATATGAATAGATTAAAAAAATAGAAGTTTTCCTTGTTAAAGTTGATAGTTGAACTGTAAACAGCTTGAAAATATTTACACACCAAAAATGGACTAGTTACAACAAATGTTTTATAAAATGTAATAAAGCAGCTGATGTTTATTAAGCACTTCTTACTGCTGGCAAGACACGCATATTTAATCCTCATCCTTAATCCTTTAAGGTAAATGATGTCGTTGCCCCAATTTTACCAAGAAAACTGATGCACTGAGAGAAGTCAAGTGAATTGTCTGGAGTTACTCATCCACACAGGGATTTAGAAAGGACATTTTGCTCAGAGTCCCTGGGTTTCCCACTTGAATAAGTAGGTTTAAGTTTTGAAAAATAAGAGTGTTCAGTGGAGGGAGGATGGGATTGCCTTTGACTAGATTTTGATTAAGTGTAGAAAACAACAAAAATTATAAATTTGGCAGCTAACATTTTAAAAAATCATTTGCTGTAAATTTATTTTTTCTGCATATAGCATAAATCTTAGGCAACCTAGAAGCAGTTTTAATGTGAGAAGGTTTATTTCAGGAGAAAACAATAATCACATAATTGTGTGCTTTGGAGAAAACAGTCCAAAAAAGAACTTAAATTGGGTCAAGTCTTGAGAATTGCTGGGCACTGCTGGTAGTGACTTGCCCAGAACAGTGGGGGGTTGGGGAGAACTCTCTGGATGGAATCGAGGCAGTCTTTTTCCTCTTTAGTGGATTGTAGTAGCTCATTTCTGTTCTTTTGACTTGCAGAAAGGGTGACCCCATAGTGATATAATTCATGTTCTGTGAGAATAGGCATAATTCTCCCTACCTGTCTTTACTGCAGGGTGGAGGTGTATGGCTGTGCTGTTTATACAGACTCTGGGAAAGAAAGCCAGGAAAGCAGGCAGGTGTTCCTGAGTGCAAAGTGGGGGTATCAGCCATGCCTCTTTTCATCCAGGAATTTGCAAATCTTGTTAAGATAGAAAACCTGGCCCCCAAAAGAAAAAAAAATCCTTCTTGCCTTGAACAACTTTGCCCATACTGGAGCATCTGCTGCTACTTATGCAAGTAATACTACATTTCTCCTCCCATCCTGCCGCTCCTGCCTCCGAGAGGAAGAGGGAGCTGCCCAGTGAGCAGACGGCTGCGTGCCTCACCCTGTAACCCTCTGCTGGTGAGTTCCCAGGAGCTGCATCCCACAGGCTGCAGCTTCTCATGCTGGATGGAGCCGCTCCCTGCCCTTCTTGGTTAGGATATGTCAGGTTGTCAGGACAACTGTTAATGGCAGCTTATCCTATTTTCCCTGTGCTGTGCGGTGTATGTTTTACTGGGCAGTAGCAGGAAGAAGATTGGGAAAAGGTGCCGCAGCAGGACGAGACGCTGGGATCTGATTGATTGAACAGGTTAGGCAGTGGAAGGAGACTGCTGAACCTGAACGTCTTTGAAAGGGTTTTTGTGCAAAGGGGGAGAGAGAGAGAGGGAGAATGTGTGTGTGTGTGCTCCAGCCAGCACACGTGCCTGTGGGGAGTGAGAGGGGGCTTGAAGGGGGGGCTTGCTGCTAGGTGAAGGGGGAACAGCAGGGCCTCAGTTGCCAAGTGGCTGGTAGTATCTGTCAGCTGTTTGCACACTGTTTACCCATAAGGGATCTATTACAAGTGCTCAAATGAACCGGCGGCATAGGAACTAGCAGCTTCCTGGGAGCTGCAATTACATAGCATATATTTTTAATACAATAATAATTAAAAAGCAAGTAGCAGCAGTATGCCTGGATCAGCTACAGCTATCCGACAAGAGAGACTGAAGAAGACCAATTCAAGGCCAATTCCTCTTGGTTTATTCACCATTAATGAGGAAGATGAACAGCAAAAGAATGGAAATTCCAGAAGACCAAAAGGTATGCATTAGCTCTACCCTTTGGTCGGAGCGGGATCCAGCCTGTTTCCCATACTGCCCGTAGTACATTTTCTGTGACCTCCCTGCAGTTTGCTCGTGGTATTTACATGCTCTGTACCTCTGTGCTTGCATGCATTAGGGAACAGATTGTGCAGATTTGGTAGGTTTCAGGTCAGCTGCCTTTATGACCGGTGCTAATTTCTTGATCTAGACAGCTTTAATTTTCACATGTTCACTTATCCAATGACTCTGCTCAGCAGGAGGAGAAAATATGAGTTAGCAAGGTTTCAACAAACATCTCTCCTCCTTCCTTAGGTGTCTCAGACAGTTTCTATTTACATTAATGAGGCAACTTTCTCCATGAAAGGGCTGCATTAGATAAAGTAACTGAAGAGTGCCACATTTCCATGGGCAGAGGCTCAGGATTTTACTTGCTTTACTAGACTGAAATACTGGGTACCTGAAGAGGAAGAAAACATTTAGGATCACTATAAGGGCCAAGCCAGGACCAGGGAGACAGCCTTGAAGCTTTATAACTTCTGATGATAACTCCATTAGTAAGCATCTGTGTAGAGGTTACAATGTTCTGGGTAGAGAAGGAGGAGGTCTGTGCTGTTCTTTCCTAATGATGAAATGGAGCTGTTGGCTCCGCCAGCTTCTTGAGTCCCCATGAACTGCGTCCTCTTTAGCTTGTCATGGCCTCCCTCCCAGAGCTGCAATTATCCATCTGAGATGCCTACCGCGTGCATTTTTGAAAAGGGGCTTTAGAGCTTGCATTTTAATTTTTTTGGCATTCTAATTCTTGCAGTTTTCTTCCCCCAATATATAAACTGTTCTTCTCTTAGCCAATAGGTTATCAGTTTTGTTGTTTCTCTGTGCTGATTAAATTTTAGCTTGTATTCAAGTTCTTCTGTCGCTGAGTTATCAAATTCTCAGAGTGATGCAGAGCACTGGCATGGCAAAGCATAAGCAAATATTTAAGCAGTAGTAGAATGAGGGTCTGAATAGAATCCAGTGTCTGAAAACAGTTGGCTTGTTTTTTATAGCTTCTTGAATCTTATTTATTCTTACTAAGCATAATTGAAACTGTTTTAAAACCAAAAGTACATGTTTATTTCAGGGAAGATCTAATAAGTAAAAAGTACTGTAGTTGATCATTATTTTACTGTCAGGTGTAACTTTTATCTGAGAACCAAATGACCTCAAGAATCTAACAATGCTATGAATGGAGGGTGACTTAGGGGATTCTTTTGTTTGTCCATTAATTAGGCAGGTGAACCAGAGTATGCTCTGGATCAAAATTCAATGTTTTAAACTGTTAGTAGCAAATTGGTCTCCTAGGAATTGGTAACTTTTAAAATTAATGTGAATTTATTAAAGTGTGTCCAGTGAGTATTTTTAGAAATTCTTGATTGGTGGCACTTTAGGATAGCCAGCTATTTTTGTTCTTAGTAATTTTCTTTAAATGCTATTCCTATCTTTCTCCTGTTTTATTTTCTTTAGTATTTTATTTAAAAAGAGGGGTGAAAGAAGCAGATGCTCAAAAAAGTCTATTTGTTTTCAGCAATATATACATCTTTTGGATAACAGAGACTTAATTGAAGTCTCTGTTACTATTTTTCTTTTCCTCTCTCTCACCACACCACAGGAGGAAGGGAAAGAAAAAGACTAGGAACATAAATTCTGTGCTGACAAGGATGTGCAGACTCTCTGTATATCCCCAAATGCCTCTATTTATGGACAGATTCAATACAATAAGTTTGGGTGTCTTTAATGACTCTTGATGAATAAGATCATTGGCTTTGGTGTTTTAATTTCTCTTCAAGTCTATCTCAGCAATAGGAATATCCACTTTCTAGCCTAACTGTCAGTAGAACAGTGATGGAAATAGTCTGTGTCTGCCCTGCCCAATGCCATAACACTAACCACACGTGACCAGAAGCACACAAAATATGACTACTGCGATGGAGAAACTGATTTTTAAATGTTATTTAACTTTAGTTAATTTAAACTTCGGTAGCCACATGTGGCAAGTGGTGACATTGTTGGACAACACAGTGCTAGTGTGACCTTCTGAATTTGCATCCTCTCGGCTTTGTTCATTCTTACTGCTTCCTGGTACCAGATAGGGTTGGGTCCTGAAATGAATGTGGTTATTATGAAGTCCATCATGGAGCAAACTGACCCTTCGCTGCAAGAAAGCATGGTGACCTGCATTTACAGACAATTTCATGTTTCTCTTTCCTCTTGAAATGTTACTGCCTGCTCAGAATATTATTATAGCCAGTCACTAGTTGCCTCTTTTGCCACTTTTAATGGACTCCATTTTCTAAATTATTATTTCTAAAGTATCATAGCAAGATGACATGCAGGTTATCTTTTATATGTAACTATTAAGATAAGCATTCAGAAAATTTGTTTTCCGCCTACTCCATTGTCTAATCAGCCAAGTGTGCTTTCATGCTGAGTATCTTTGTTCTATCATTACCAGGAATAAAGAAGCTTGCTATCTAAATTTAATAAGCTAAATGCTGCTGTCCAGGACTACCCTGGGTTAATGGTGAGTGGAATCTTTCTAGGGACTGGTAATATTAGGTGACCCTCATAATGAACTCAGTAGGAGTGAACGTGTCGCCTGCCATCTGGACTCCCAATGTGGCTTCAAAGTTACTTGGTGGGGTGAAACTGGAGTTTGGCTAGCTGGTGGCTAGGTATATTCTGGAATGAGCTATTACTCTGCCTTGTAATCAATAGGAATGTAAATGTTATACATGTCTTCCTATTTTTTAAAAAATTTATTTATACAAGCACTGGGTACAGTGAAAAGTGCGGGAGGGTGAGAGAATTCACCAGAGCGGGGAACAGAACAGGTAGACCTATGAAATACACTGTTGAGGGGAGCAGTGGGCACAGAAGGAGAGGCCTGTGCGCCATGTGGGACCCTCTCCGGTGGCCGGGGATCGAACCGGCGCTGTAGAGGCTGCCGGCAGCTTCGCAGCCCAGCGCTCAACTGCTGCACCACCAGGGGAGGCCCCTTCCTATTTTTGGTGTGTAACATTTAAATCGTAATTGGTCATGCACTGGGCTTATGCTGCTGTTCAAATATCTGGAAACTGGGCTCCTTGGTGGCACAGGGGTTAAAGACACAGCACTATCAAGCTATGTTGCCAGCCACTGCAACATGAATTCAATCCCCAGCCAGGGAGCTAACCCACATGGCGCAGCAGACCTTTCCCGTCTTACCTGCTACTCCCCTCAGCAGTGTATTTCAGGAGATCTGCCTGTTCTGCTCCCCACTCTGTCTCAGGTGAATTCTTTCACCACCCACATACCTCTCTGGCCTATACCCCAGTTATGTATGTATAAATAAATAAATCTTAAAAAAAAAAAAACACAAATATCTGAAAACCCATGCCTCAATGTAATGCTGACCTCAATACTTAGGAGATTTTAATGCTGTAGTGGCTAATTCCCCTGGATAGGGTTTCAAGATGAACCTGTACTCTGATGAATTTTGCTGAGCACAGTGTGATTATTAAGTATTAAAACATTTTCTCCCCAAACTAACATTTGTTAAGTGCTCACCTGTACAGATGACTCTCCTGGGGCACTGTGGGAGTGATGCATAGATAACTGACCTGGATTCCTGTTCTCAGAAATGGTAACTGTCTAGTGGAAGAAGACAAATGCATACAAATGAAGCTAGAGTGTAAAGGACAATCAGGGCAGGAGCTGAGAGTGAAATGAAATTACCTGTGCACACAGCCAGGCCCTTCTAGATTATGGAAGTCCTTCTTAAGGGCCCAACTTCTCTTTATAAATTGCTTGCAAAGTGTGTGTAACATTTTTGAGCAGGGGTAAACTTAACATTGAAAATAAGTTCTCACAGGCTCTGAAGGTCTGTCATAGGAATTCTAAGAAATGTGGATACTGTTAAAATCATCCTTCTAAGGCAACTAATTTGAATACTAAGTGTGGTTGTGTCTGATTTGTTAATTGTATTCCCTCTATCGCACAGCATTTATCTAATAGTATCTAAGCAGTGCTTCTAGTGTGTTTTATTGGTGCTTTCCCTCATCTTAGTCGTCATTTTCTTTGGAAAAAATGAAGGTGCATCTTTTCAAGGTGATATTGACTACTCTGTTAATATGGGTTAATGCCTTCACTCCTTTACATCAGCCCATTGCAGATTAGAATGTGAAGAAATACAATTTCTGCTTATCTACATAAAAGGTGGAATTTCTGCCAGTTAAGGTTTCCAAATGCAATCCAATCTGCCATTTACCACTTGTATTTTTACTGGCTAGGGGGTGTTCCTGTCCAACTGTAATGTCCTCTCTGTAAGTCATGAGTCTTTTTCCTTTGAAAGAAGTGCAAATGCCATTCGAGAATCATTCTCACACATACTACTTTTTTCCTTTTCCTCTGTTGTTCTGTAAGACTGGGACTCTTGGCTCTTTCTGGTACCCTTGGCTCTTTCCAGTGTCCTTATTCGTGCCATGTCAGGACAAAGCAAAAGGACTTAGTAACTTTTATAGCTGGTGAGGCAAACGTCTGTTTCAGAAGAAAAATATCAAAGATACCCATTATGAGGAGATCTTAAAGGCAAATTGTTATTAACATGACTTTTTAAAAAAGATTTATTTATTTGCTTTATGCATAGAAGAACTGGGGTGTAGGCCAGAGGTACAGGGGGTTAGAGTGGGGAGCAGAACAGGCAGATCTACTGAAATGCACTGCTGAGGGGAGAAATGGTCTGCTCTTCCATGGTTAGCTCAGGCGGCAGCGGTGATAACATTGAGACTTAACCGCTATGCCACTCGGGAGGCCCTGATTGACATAACTTTTATTTGCTAAAAGGAACCTAAATATGTTTCACGCAAAGCATTTATATAAACATAAGAACAAGGGGTGCCAGGAACAACACCTAATGTGTGGCTTGGGTTGTCTGTAAATACCTGAGAGTCGATGAGTGTCACTGTCTCCCAGGCTTTCTGCTAC